CTCTGCTAACTCAGTGATTATTTTTCTGCTCAATGATCAGGCTCATTAGTTTAGTCATAGATGCTGATACCAAAAGACTAATAAAATGATGCTGAACGATGTGAAACTTATAGGTTCAGGTCCAGCAGCTCTCGCCATGTTTTAATAGAGAAGACAGACATGTGGGAACCAAAACTTTCTTAATCAGAGTTCTGACTTTAGGGGATGCAAATCGGAACTTGGTTAAAATGAACTTTTTTCTGGATACTTCTAGAAAGCCTTGCTTTGGTTTTGGGTTCAGTAAAACATCTGAAACAAGCCCAAAGGGTTTGACTGTACTATCAAGGCTGCAGCTGTTAATATTGTTGCCTTGCACCAACAGTAACTGTTTTTCTGGTCTCCCTGTGAATGCCCAGGTTGTCCTCCTGTTTTCTTCTAAAAACATGGCTACTAGCTCCTCAGGACGCTGAAAATAGCCCTCAGGTGTCGCCATGCATGGCTTTTCCTGTGTATCTCTGCACTCATGTGACATTAGCTGTTAAACATTTTGCCTTCTTGCCTCAGGTCTCAGCTTGCAGACATGGCCACAGCCAGCTGTCTCCTATCTGAAGACCAGTTCCGGTGCTTCGTATGTCAGAATGTCTTCACGGATCCGGTCAGCACACCATGTGGGCACAACTTCTGTAAGAACTGCGTCACGGAAACCTCCCATGCTGATGTCCCCTTTCAGTGTCCAATCTGTCAAAGGATGTTCTTCCCAAAACCAGAGCTGCAGGTTAACACTCTGATCGCTGAGCTGCTGGACATGTTCAGACGGTCAGCTCAGCGCCAGAATCGAGAGCCAGTTAGAGGACATTTCTTCTTTAGAACTAGAAGTAATGCCTTTAAAATATTTTTATTTTGTCTTTTCTTGATTGTATCCTCCCAAGTAAAATATGGCCCTCATCTGAAAGAGGAAGCAAAGGGAAAGAAACCAGAATCACCAGAAGAATATATGCTTTCTACCGTTCACCTGGAGCAGCTTTTCACTGAGGTGATGAAGAAAGAAATCCCCAGACTGTTGATCCGAGCCGAGCTGATGAAGGCTCAACGCTACGCGGTGGATGTGACTCTGGATCCGCACACTCTGCATCCCAAACTTGTCCTGTCGGCTGACAGGAAACAAGTGAGATGTTGTGATCCACAGAAGAATCTCCCACACGACCTAAAGAGGTTTTTATATTATAAATACGTTTTAGGGGAGCAGAGTTTCTCCTCAGGTAGGTTCTACTTCGAGGTCCAGGTGAAAGGAAAGACTAACTGGACTTTAGGGGTGGCCAACGAGTCGGTCAAAAGGGTGGGACTCATCAGACTCAGGCCCCAGTTTGGTTACTGGTCCTTAACTGTGAGGAATGGAAAGGAGTACATTGGTCTGTCTGAGCCTCCAGTCCATTTCTCTCTTCAGTCTCGTCCTGAAAAGGTTGGGGTGTTTGTGGATTACGAGGAGGGTCTGGTCTTCTTTTATGATGTA